GGGAGGGCAAAAAAATCGATAGTATTTTCGTTCAAAATAACCTTCAAGCTGTAAACAATGGCTTATGCACGCATGTTAAAAAGAATGTTGAGTGACTCAGGAACCGCCTGCTTGCATTGTTTATTCTTGGAGCACAACAAACATTCTGCGGCTTTGAGTCACTTTGTTGGGGTCCTCTCAGGCAACAATGAACAATTTTGTTTATTAGTTTCTTGCAATTCCTAGGTGTACCACCTTGTGAACAGTCAGAAGAAGCACAAAACATCCCCGCTGCCACTGCCACTGCCACTATGAACATCACCATAACGTCAGCGGTACCACCGACGAACACCACAACTAGCGTCACCGTAGACACTGGAGACGACGTCAATTACAAAGCAGGGAGTACTTGCAGCACAGACACAGCGGCAACCTTTGCGCCTCAACAGAATGCCTAAAGCAGTTAGCAATACCGCATGATGCTTTTTGAAATTTTACGAGTATTTTTCGTATCTGCATTTGTGTGTAAGTGTTTAGGAGTATTTTTCTACAACGTTCCAATACCCCCATTTCTATTAACCCCTGTAATCTCTGGCCTTCCCACCTCTCACCACTTGACACTGGTTAAATTATCCTAAATTTTATGGTTATACTAAATAACTTCTCCTTCATTTGGAATAAATTTTGAGTATTCATTTTACTGGTGGTCACCATTAAATAACCAATCGATGGTACACCAGTGAAAAAAATGTGACCGAATTTTATGTTTGGGCATTTCAATGTGGAGACCATTAAAGCAATCCCATATGGGGGTGAGGTAAGTTGTATGGTAGACGATAGGATTCAATCCAGGACATCTAACGAGTTCATGTGCGATTTATGTATATACTGGGTCGTCTGATTTACTTCGCAATGCCATGTTCTAATGCTCAGAATATCGTCTCAGGTTATTGATCGTTCTGAGTGCAACTGCATGTTGGCTGTTCTCACCTAAAATGCGTTAGTATGCAGCAAGCGCAAAACAAGTCAAACTCGGATTCAGAATGAAATTCAACTTACTCTGCCTGCTTACTTAATTTTGAAGAATGCCCCCCCCCCCCCCCAACCCAACTCCACATTTCACCCTTTCCATTGGTTGACATTACTCTAGTTCGGCAACCTTCTAACATTTTTTCAATTATCAAGCTTTCAAAACTTATGCTACATCTAGGTGCATACATTTTCAAGCTCCCTTCCACATTAGATCATGGGCGTTGAGGTTGGATAGAATGGAAGCTCATTTAGTTGCTGAAAACTCTTATTATGCTCTTCCTTCTCGTCTCTCCCCACCTCCCCCCCCCCCCCCCCCCTCCTGAACATTAAATTTGCCTATATCTTAAGGAGGTAAAACAAATTTCCTCTTCTCTTAACAAACTTCCCCCATTCTTAAATACTTTGATGAATGCCTTTGGATTAATAGGTACTTTTGAATAGTACTTTCACTTTGCCGTCTTAAGACAGTTCGAGAAATCTGATCAGCATATCACAGACTTCTAGAAAAAACCCACGGAAAGTCAAATAGTCGCGAAAGTTAAAAAAATTTTGCCTTATTTTTATTTTTACATATTTTACCACTATTTACAAATTGGAGCATTTTTGAAGGTGGCCTTTTTGGATAATTGATTGAAGGATTTGGGTTTGAAATGTGCGATCAATGATTAGATAAAATTATTCCAATTCGATTAAAACATTTCTGGAGAAGTCCTTTCAGGTGACCAAAGGGGCATGTCCCGAAGGTCGATGCTTTCATCACATCCGCGGTCGACACACCAAATTCTCCATTTTCCATGTGTCCATATAAAACCAGATTTATAGTAACCACCTAATCGTCGCAGAAATTCCAAAATACACTCCGTTTTAGTCTTGAAAGCTGAGCGAACATCATGAATAAGGACAATTAATAGGGCTTGTTCATAATTCACGAAGTCAATTATGTACTTTATTGCGTGTTCAAATGATGCCTCTAGATCCACAAAGAATACCATACAATCCAGCACACTTTCCCTGGGTTCAAAGTTCTGGAACAACGGCATGATTATATTTTTTAGGGTAAACATTGTGTCAGCTTTATTTTCAGATAAATCAGACGCATTGAAGTAGTGGTATTGAATAACTGGGACGTGTGGCCTTTTGTCTAACACTTCCAAGAGGTCATTCAGGGAGCTTCCAAGTGCATTAACACGCTTAGCGGGACCGATTCCATCGGGAATGAAGAGATAAATATTGATCCAACTTTCTTTCCATTTGGAGATTGCCTCTAATTTAGATCTTGACTGTTGGTACAAGTTTGTGATGGCAATGTTCTCTGATATGACTTCCGAAGTCTTGTCAAAAAGAAGGTCGCACATACGATCATCCAACCAGGGTAGCTCATCCAAGCTACCGGAATGGAAACCAATATTTTGATCCTTCTTTTGCAAGGAGCTTCCGATTTTTACCTATTTAATGGAGAGACGTTAAATTCAAGATGAAATTAGCTCCTATAGTGACAGAAACAAAGGAGAAAGTTTGCACAATATTGTGCAACTATCCAATTAGGCGTGCAGCTGCAGTTGGGAAGCACAAGAACTGTACTGTTAGGAGATGGAGGTTAATTCAAGCAGTATGGCCAGCTTCCAATCTACATCGAATTAACACGACCGTTAATCGGCGGTTTGGTAGTGCATTTGATAGACAGGCTCGAACACTATGGAAGGTAATAGCTAATTAATTACCTTTCTCATCGATTAAACCGACCAGGCTTAAATCGGCAATTGTATCCCAGAAAGCACCAATATTTCTAACCATTTATAAGTGTGAGTAAATGAGACTTGAAGGTACTGAGTAAAAACCCAAATGAAAATAGCGAATATGCTGAATCTTCGCCTTTGTTAGTAAGCGGGTAAGGACCTTCTCATTAGGATGACATTTCCAGTGAAAGTATCTCCTTAAAAAGATCACATTTTTGAGAACGGGTAGAGAAACAAGTAATGCTGGAATTCAATGATAGAATAGGGTAACCGAGGTCAACAGATCCATATTCTCTTTGAATTTTAAATTTTTAAGCACAAACAATAGAGCAAGAGTCTTAATATAATGATTAAATTTGCTTAATTTGAGCTTCTAATACTCGCTTGTGCATAAAATCGATAACACGCAGTAATCCTACTGTCTGTTTATCACCAAAGAAATCACTTCCAGCTGATGCAAAGAAGGTCTGTCAAATGTCTCAGACCTGATAAACTTCAAGGTATTTTGACCAAACACCTACTGGCTCGACAAACCCTTTAAGTAAGGAAAAATTTTTATTTTGCAAAAAAAAATATCAATTAATTCTAAAGTTACCTCGAATACTGGACACGGAAGAGGCGAGTTGGTTGGTATTCCCGAGGTAGTTGAAGGGGTGAGAGGTTTTCCAAATGCTAGAATGTCCTTCGATTTCAGAACCGCATATTTTTTCACACGTTTGGAATTGACATAAGTTCCAGTAGTGCTCAGGTCGTAGACTACAAAATTTTGGCCAAAAATTTTTCGTATCTCTGCATGCTTTTCGGCAATAATATCTATTGAATCATGGCTCTCTATTGGAATGTGAGGCGGATCGTTCAAATTCATGCGTCCAATCGAAATTTTGTCATGGATTTCTTGAATTATAATCTTACGGGGGCAATTTTTTGAAAGGGGCCCTTTATTGATTGAATTTTCGATTCGAATGAGATCGAGCTGAGACATGGCCCAAACTTATTGGAGATAAAAAGTAAACTGAACTACAATTCACACTTGATAAAATACGCATTTTGCTAACTCATATCATTTTAAGGTGAATATGCATCAAACAATTCGATTAAATTATGCATTAAAGATTCGCTAATACTTTGACAGGTTATTTTTATTGATGTGTGGATAGGAGTAGAAGAAAATATCACCACAAATTAAATTTAATAAGTTTTTTACCACAAAATGTCCAAGTGAATGCCATATATCCCATGCTATACTCAAAATACCGAAATTAGAAAAGTGGATTACTATGTTGTTACCTTATCTCCAAGCGGTTAATAGTTAAGATTTGTGGAGAGCATAACGGTAACATGATTGAACCACCAGTTGCGGTAAGCTACTGATCGATTTCGGGGCGTGTGCGGTAGTGCGCCAATCAATAATCAGTGCATGGCCAGCGTTGCCAAGATATTATTTTTCCTGACTAGGATCTATGTTAACTAATCACACATAATCACAAAAACTGCTCACATTGTAGACGTTGTTTCCTCGATATTGCTGAGACACCTCAGGCAGTTTCGGGAGCCATTCCCTGATAGTGGATTGCGCCATAGAGGTCTATTCAGGGCTAGAGGTTCTAACAAGTGCTCAATGATTGATTTAAACGAACTTCTCTCACCTTAAACATGGGCATGTAGCTAGCTTGAATTTTATAAGGATATGCTGTAAGGCTATTTAAGTGCACTTGTACCCACCATGATATCGTTTTAATGAAATTGGCAGATTTCTCTAAACGTGTGCCGCGTAATGGTCTCCTTAAAAGGATATTAGTGCCGTCTTTTATACTCACATTTGTTAATAAGCACCATTATTGCTTTCCACAGTTTAAGGAAGAATTCCACTGAGAATAAAATTTTTAGTCTTTGAGAGATTAATCGTTTTTTTCTGGTTCTCAGCAGTTACCATTACTCTCATAATTTGACATTAAGAGTGTCAGTACATGCAACCACTTTCTAAAAAGACAATAGTGAAGCGTGTTGAAGAAGAAGGACATAGACTGTGAGAGGAAATTATGATGGAGGATTTGGTGAAGGATGTCCTCAAAGCCCCAGTTGGAAAGAATGATATTCTGCCAAAGTTCGTATAAAATATGTAAAAGTCGATTTGACGCTCTACGATTTAACTAAAGTATTTACCTAGATGATGTAAACGCAGATTCGTTATGAAGCCAAAGGAAGGAAACCAGAATTAACGTCTTCATACCCTTCATTGAGTTGGAAAGAATCGATTCTGTCAGGCTGCAGCAGCGTGATCAATTGCGAACCTTTTGTGATCGATAAATGGATGGAAGCCAATTTTTAGCCTTGAAGTAGGTTCTATTCGGATATACTTTGCTTTGAAGGGGTATATGGTTCTAAAATAAGGTGAAACGCAGACCACATGTTTTTATTGCTTTCATCAACTCAAAATAAGCCTTGTTAGGCGCCTGAACATTGTAACGACATTGGTTGAAATCAAGAATGCTACAATGAAGATGTCAATTGATGACAGGTGAAGAAGGACCATTAATCCACGAAGAGTGAGATTATGGACTGCTTGGAAATTTTAAGTGGATTCCTTTTAGTTGTTTGAAGCTTTTGCCTTTGAAAAGTAAGGCTTCTATGGATCCAGAGTTGAGCCTGGTCTTTTGATTGGCATTTGAATGCACGCGATTCATTCGAGGCTTAGTTATTCTGGCAATAAATTGAAATTTCAATGCAACTCACTACTTCCCTAAGACTCGAGTAATCCCCTGAGTGTGGTAAGTCATCGATAAACTATTTAATAAGTAATAATTGTATTTCTAATCACATTTTCATCACTCACGCTTCCACTTATTTTGGTTAATAATTGCAAATTTTAAGCCTTACCAGAAGGCATCATTTCAGATATTAAAAAAAGTTTGGCTTTAAAATATTTGTAATTATAACTAGTCAGCTATGTCGCAAATATTAACATCCACATCGTCAATTAAAAACTTAATATCGTCGAGAAAATTTTGCCGCAAATCAGAGGACGAAAGGGTCAAATTTGAATTTTGGAAAGTGAAATGTGAGTTTAATAAAACAAATTCATTAAAAAATATTAGATAGCACTCTACGTATTACTGACGGGAATAAAAGAATTAGTGTTAATTAGTCGCATAAAGCGATATAAAAAGGAGGTATTTAACAAATAAAACGAATGAAACAGAATACTTTTACTTTTCGCAACAGAATGTATTAACCTTAAAACTGAATACATATAAGGAATTTCGATCTCCAAATTTTGATGCCATTTAATTCTTCTGCTCAATCCTCTTCTTCTTGATCATAACTAATGTGGAACTCGGGGTGTGCGATAGACTTACCTCCACGTGGTACACCCTGGGCAACGTATACTCTACTCTACTTCTCACTACAAACTACCATCACCACACTGTATGTCATATTCGACCCCTTCCACAGTTCTCACCTCGCCCTTTTTCTACCTTTGTGTCTGTCTCTTTTACATCCTTAAAGCATTTTTCTGTCACCCACTTTCGACTTTTTTCATTTTGATGTTTCTCCTCCCCTCTGTGAGGCCGGAGGTAATTACAGGCTAATGATAACCGTCAAAACGCCTGCCATGGGATATATATATAACTAAATGTGCAACACTTTGAAGGGCTCTTTAAAGCCATGGGTATCGAAACGGCACCTTTATCATTCATTAGAACCAACTACTATTCAAACAATCGGGGAGGGGCACTGTCAGTTTTAATTGTTTCACATTTAAATAAATTTTTTTTGCCATCGGTTGTAACCCTTTTGGTGAAGCCTTGCAGGTAAAGGTCAGCTTTATAAGATATTTATTTATTTATATCAAATGGCAGCCGTTTTGATAGTTAACACTATCCCTTTAGCTGACTTCGGGCCTCACAGAGAGGAGAAATGGTAAAGTGGGAAAAAATGGAGAGTGGGAAAAGAAAAGTGATTCACAGATGTAAAAGAGACAGAGAGGCACAAAGGTAGGGAATCGATAAGATGAGAACTGTGGAAGTGGTCGAATATGACAAGCAGTGGTGCCATGATATTTTGAAGTGAGAGGTTAACTGCCGGCCGGATGCACCACGCGGAGGTAAGTCTATCGCACACCCCGCTTTATAAAATACAGTACTAAGAGAATTAGATGCAATTGAATAATGCATTCAATAATATGACATGCCAAATGGAACAGTCAAAGCTAAACTGAAGAAAGCGAACATCGAATATGCAAACCGATAAGACGTTTCCCAGACGTGTCCACTCAAATAATAATAATAATAATTTGATAGTAACCATATTTTTCTAGTTCATTTCATTGGAACATTAAATAAGTGGCGATTCTACTTGTATATAAATAAGTAGAGAAGTATACCAAAATTTCGATTTACTCCGTTTGAGGAACAGATAATTGTTCTTTCGTGCCTCCGAATTGTCTCCTTTCCACTCCTTACTTTCTAGACCTGTAAGCATAATGCCAGCAGATAAATCAGTGTGTAATGAATGATTATGTTTTTTTTTAGCATTCAAAAGACCATCCGCATACACTTAGCGCTATTTTTTTTATTTTTGCCCGACGTAAAGCTTTCCATAATTCCTACGGTTTCATGCCTTTTGATGCAAATTTTCGCTAAAAACTGCAAATAGAAAAGAGATCAACTCTTTTGAAATGGATCTGTCGGACACGTTATCGCTTTGTGCGTCATCGCATGCCTGCATGCCAGGATTGGGAGGTACAACTCTGTGTGCAGCGACCGTACAAACAGTGACCAATCATTAACCTCTGTTAAACCTAATCCCCCATCCTGATCATGAGTAGCTCCCTGCGTGTACACTTGCTCCGCAATATACTTACTGAATAAACGTGCTCCGTGTTACACTTCTGTTTCCTTTATAGCTGGGCTATAGCTTAGCTGGTTCTGGGAGTCTAGCAAGATGTTGGAGAATCTGCCATAGAGATTTCTGAGTTAGTCATGCTTTACCAACGTAGCAATCCGCTAAAGATCTGTTTACTTTATTATCCCCTGGCTATTTCGTATCCCTCAACATTTATTGACACACCCAATAAAGAAATGCATTTAAATAAATTTTAGTTCAGTGTATATATTAGTTATTACTGTTTGAGCAACAAAAATTTTTAAGCGTTTGGAAATTCCTTCTCCAAATTATCCAAATATTGGCGTAAACGGCTTCTCAAGCGTCCACGTACTAGATTTAAAAAGAAATATGATAATTAACTCATAGAAAGTTAAATTTAAAATAAAGTACCTTCAGAGAAAATTTCTCTCCACTTTGCATAATAGGCTGCAATCTTTTTACCGAGTGGATCTTCGTCATAGAATCGTTCCCGATCATCCAAATACTCCTTGACCCTCATTTTGATTCGGCGAATGGGGTTCATCTATGCAAGGTTAAGAGTTATTGACGTATTTTTCGCTCTATCATGAGGTGCCAACGCTTATCGTGACATCATTTAACTTACCTCCCTAAAAATTAATGTGATTACTTATTTTTTCAAAAAATCGAATTCTTACTCAGCTGAGACCACCACAAGGGCCATAAGAGCCAAAAGAATGATAAATTGTACCCTCATTTTTCCGGATTGGAAAATTCACTAGGCACCTCTCTTTGTGGGCCATATTTATAGGCAAATAGTGATGCCCGCTTTCGAACGGGGTTGGTTATTTGTTATCGTTTATGCAGAGATTAAACTTCCGGCTATTGTGAGTGCAGACATTTCCAAACCAGTTGGCTTCATAGTTCTAATAAAAGCATAATATACTTCAAATGCTGCCGTTTTTGTAAAAAGCGTTTTTGCTCTTGTCTTGGGAATTTCTATTCTGAGTGAAAGTTGTAAAACCAGATTGACAGTGCAGTGGCCATCAAAATAACTAGATTTAAATACGGAAAGCTGGTTGGTATCGAAAGCCTACATTTTCATAAACCTTTGATCATTCAATGGGGGGTGGGGGAGGAATGATAGACTAATCTCCACGTGGTGCACCTGGGCAACGTATACTCATACGGCAAAAAGGTCCATAAACTGGCAGTTGACTTCTGACTTCTCTTTGTCATATTCCACCACCTCTACCGTACTCGCCTCATCTTTTTCCTATACCTTGACGTCTGTCTCCTTTACACCAGCGAATTACTCTTCTGTTCCCCTCCTCAACTTTTTGCGACTTTAATGTTATTCCAGTCTGTGAAGCCCGAAGTCAATCTAGAGGCTAACGATAACTATTGTAAAGCCTGCCATCTGATATAAATAAAATACACAACCGAGACGATATTAATCCGTTGAATACAAATTGAGCTTGCTTTATCACAGTTGACTAATTTACTCACACGGTTTTCCAGATGTCTACAAATTTTTCCGAGAATAAGCCATTCATCCAAATGATTGACAACTGAAATGACAGCATTAAAAGTTCGGATAATGTCTGACCAGAGTTCACAAACCGGACGTTGAGGCATAAACATCGAGGCATTCCTATAAAACGACCTCCATAGCACACTCCTATCCGTCTTTACTAGAAGAAAGCGGAATAAAATGCGTTCCGCGTTGTTCTTTCTTGCTCTCACTCTGGTTGTAGCCTCAGTTTCTGCGGAGTAGGTTTGACGCAATTACAATATATATATATATATATTTTCTCTAGGGTTTCCATTACAAAGCCACTTTTAGTTCGTGGCAAAGCGCTGTATGCAGCCACACACCGATTCTTTGCTGAAGATCCCCTTGGTCAAAGAATTGCCAAATTCTTTGGAGACACCAGTGAGATAACCACAGAAGGTGGGTCGAACTTAGAGGGAGAGAGGGAGAGAGTTCAAATTGGTTTTTAAATGTTTATTTTGTAGGAAGAAGAAGAGTGCGTGAACGAATAGCCAAGTACATCAGAGAGCTAAAGGCCGAAGTTTAATAAACTATGCCCGAGTGTAAATTTAAAGTTAATTAATTAATAAAGGCTAATTAACATGAAAATGCTTCGATATTCGCTTTCTTAGTAACCTTACTTAACTGGCAGTACATGGCAGCTTGAATGTGCTCAGTTATTTTTATTGAATATAAATGAAGAATAAATTCTTGAAAAAGTATAAATTAGAATATGTGCTCTCTTGCTTCAAGCGTTTATGTTGCGTATATATTGATTAATTGATTTGGATTGAAAAATAAGTAACGTTTAATTAATATCTACTCCACGTGTAGCGGATTGCTACCTTAGTAAAGCCTGACTGACACAGAAATCTCTGGCAGATTCTCCTACTTCTAGCTAGACTCCCAGGACCAGGCCCAGCTATAGAGGAAACAGAAGTGTAACACGGAGCACGTTTATTCAGTAAGTATATTGCGGATAAAGGGACGGAGCACGTTTATTCAGTAAGTATATTGCGGATAAAGTGTGCACACGCAGGGAGCTACTCGTGATCAGGATGGGGGATTAGGTTAAACCGAGGTTGATGATTGGTCACTGTTTGTATGGTCGCTGCACACAGAGTTGTACGGCCGCACCTCCCAATCGTATGGTCGCTGCACACAGAGTTGTACGGCCGCACCTCCCAATCCTGGTGAGCAGCATGCAGGCATACGATGACGCACACAGCGATAACGTGTCCCACACACGTAACTAAAACTTAGGAATTACAAGAATTTGTTTCCTTTTAATAACTTACTTTTCTGCAAATTAATATGCTTCCGTAATTGAATTACTAAATACTCCTGTTTTATTCAGGACGGAGATGGGAAAATTGAAGGTTAAATTCCATTGGTCGAATTTTCCTCGCCAATTGACATGGTGCCTGGGAAAATAGACCATCTTATCACCAAAAGAAAAAGTGTCCGCTGAAAACAAAACAGAATAGAGTTAAACGAAACTCAATAGATGAGGAAATTACACTATTGAAACTGATGTGGTCAAACAATTTGCTTGTTAACCATTTTTAAGCTTTCCCTGATTTGCGGTAAAGGAACCGATTCCACACATTGGCCATTATTAGCTACCAAATTTCGTTATCCAGGATTCAATTACCACACATAGGCATCTAAATTACACCTAAGGCCCTTCTCTACAAATGGCGAGCTACCAAATCACTCTCGGAAGGGTTGCGCACGCCCTTAAATCATGATTGTCCGTCTTGCAATGCTCATCTTAGTAAGGGTCATTTTTTGTTTGGAAATGCCGATTTATCTGTGGCTCAGTAGGATAAATTGCTTTGGTCGGAGGTTTCCTTCCATTATTCAGACGACAATTTTCTGTGGGGAGTTGGTCTCTGGGGTGTTTGTATGACCTTGTAGTAGCAAAGATCTTCACTAAGTGCAAACTTCATGGTAAAAGGTGCAGCATTCAATTAATTTTGTCGAAAAATTCAAAGTTCCGATTTCAGAGTATTTCAACACTTTTCGCATCAGTATCTCGAGGACCTCTGCTGTACTGCTTAGATTTAATTATCTGTTATGTTGATTTCTTCTTGCTATAACAACATTGTAGTCTACATTGAATGGGCCCAGTTAATGGCTGACTCTCTTTCTCCGTTGAAAGGGCATCGAGTTGTGACCATAATCTATTTTGGATGGCCTGTGGGAATCTTTTTGAAATATAACCGTTTCCTCCATGATTGAGGTGGGTTCCTGACACCCTTCTTGTTGCTATAACGTGTTTGACTGAAGACGCAGTGTACACGAACACCTTTAACGGGTCTTGGGCTGATGGAACTAATTATCACTGACAATCTCCATTCCCCAGTCCAATTGAGTCGTTCTTTAGAATACTTTCTTTATGTGAAACTATCCCTGTGGGTTGGGTCGTAAGCTATTTTTTGCCGGATAAGGGGAGATCGGGAGATGTATATAAGAACAAAATACCCCCTCCTTTCCCAAAGGACAATTTTTAGCTTTTTCCACACTTTTTTTACATTTTCTGATTGTATTTTCATAAAAAATGGAAATTTCTTTATCTTATTAAATTGCAGTAATTTATTTTCCTCAATGTCTTTTAGTGAATTCATTTTTCTTAGCCATGACGGATCAGTATATTTCAATTTACACTCGAGAATCAATGAATTAAATTTTGATTTTATTATCTACAATTTTCAAATTGAATTCCGAATCGAAATAACAACATCCATTGTTTTTATCTTTAATACTAAAAAAATTATTCTAATTAATTGGAAGCGTTCAAGCCCTGTCGTAGGGAAAGCAGATCAAATTCTGCCTGAGAGTATCAATTAAATTTTACTTTATTTGAAAAGTTGTCGCTTTTAATGCCCCCCCCCCGACACAATCTCACTTATTTTTTTAAGTTCAATGTGCCATATTTTAAAGAACCTATTTAATGATTTAGTATCCATGGTCCTGAGAAAGAGAAGTTTCAGAACACCTGAGCACCACCTGCGAACTCGTCTGCAGACTACCGTATTCATATTCTACTCTAAATTCCAACCTTGAAGAAGTTTTTTACGCTTCCATGGCCAATGCAAAATATGGATTCATACAATAATCTAGTGAGTAATCTATTTTATGTGCAATCAGAATACTCAATAGCGTATCGATTTTTAGGATGAGTGATGGTCTCATTTCTGTAGGCATTTATATCCAACTCCGCGCCAATTAAAAGTTAGATAATGTTTTGGATAAGGAAGACCAACGAAAAATGAATTTCTTTCTATGCTCAGTCACTATAAAAGAGACAGAAAGTACGAAGAAAGCATGACAGAAATTTTAATATTCCACTTCAACAAGTGAGTAGAATGGAAGGAGTTGAAAATGATTTTGTCATTGACATGATGTGGATAGATTCTGTTATGAGAATTTGAAGATACGAAAAAAATATCAGACCAATTACATCAGATGAAATCGCCAAAACACGGTTTCAGAATCCAGCTGAGATAGAACATGACGATTAGTGAGTTTAACATGAAATGCCTATCTATTGTTGCCCTTTCCGCTAATTGAAACATTTCGCACAAACGAAGTGGGACACAAAAGCATACAAGAAATTTAACTGAAAATAGTTTTTGAACGTAAAAATCTACTTGTTAAAATAAATCTACCTCAGTCTAGTAAATATAAAAAATAGATGATAATGCAAATCTGCTAAAGAAATAATAATTCCAATTCTAAAAAGTCAAGAAAAATATCTTGGGAACTGACTACGTAAAATAGCAGCATATTGTGACTTAGAGTTACCTAATAATTTCACACTTCAGTGGATTTTAATGCCCAAAATCAATCCTAGCTTTTACCTGGATTTACTCCATAGACTGAAAGCATTAACCAATTGTAACTCAAATTTTTACATGCCTGATTATACCCTCAATGGCATGCTCTGGAAAAGAGTTTTGCAGGCTACAATATGTTCGTCTAATTAAATTTTTTTCCAAATAATGAAATACTATCATAGATGCATTTTCTAAGTAGATATGAGGATATCAAATAGCAAATATCAATTTTAGAAAATAATTTATTCATTTCAAAGGCAGGCGTTTTGATATTTATCATTGGCCCTTTAGTTGACTTCAGGCTTCACAGAGGGGAGGAACATCAAAGTAACAGAACGTCGAGGGGTGGGGAACACAAAGGTGTAAAAGAGACAGACACAAAGGTGGAAAAAAGGTGAGGCGAGTATTGTGGTAGTAGTTGAATTTGACATGCAGTGGGATGATGGTAGTTTGAAGTCAGAAGTCAACTGCCGGTTAATAGATGGTAGTTTGAAGTGAGAAGTCAACTGCCAGTTAATAGTATGGTAGTTTGAAGTCAGAAGTCAACTGCCGGTTAATAGGGATCTTTTTGCCTTATGAGTATACGTTGCCCAGGGTGCACCACATTTTGCCGTATGAGTATGCGTTGCCCAGGGTGCACCACGTTTTGCCGTATGAGTATACGTTGCCCAGGGTGCACCAAGTGCAGGTAAGTCTATCGCACAACCCATTTTGGAAAGTAAAGAATTCTCCAATTTCAACAACTGTTCTCAATAATCAAGATTGATGAATGAGGATTTGCCATCGTTTGGAATTGAGTAACAGCATTCAAAGAATATAGTGGCTAAAATTCAATTCACTATTTCTCAAAAACTTAATAGAAATTTTATTTTTAGATTCACCACGATTACCATTATTATATATTACCATTTGTCTTCAAACATGGAGGAGGGATATTGAAAATAAACCAGAATGCGAGATCATTAGGAACTGGAATCAAATGGTGCTTAGAAGGAGTCAAAAACTGACCAATAGCACGAGCTTCGGTTTTTTGAATTTTTAATGGCATTGAGTTGTATATGGGCTTATTTTAACCTTAGGCAGGACATGTTTTCAGGTGTAACAATTTGATCTCCCTGACTAATCAGTTGATCCAATCGAGAGATTGAACTTGCCATTTCGAGTTCATCATATCTTATAACAACTGAGACTAGCAAAAAGTTATTTAACCTAGTGGAACTCAGTGGATCTTAATCAAAGGGAACTTGAATAAGGATAATAAACTAATTATGATAAGATTTATTTATTTCAAATGGCAGGCGTTCTGATAGTTAACGTTAGCTCTTTAGTTGACTTCGGGCTTCACAGAGAGGAAGTATGACAACAAAGCGGCAACAAGTCGAGAAGGTGGACAGAATAATGATTCACAGATGTAAAAGAGGCAGACAAACACAAAGGTAGAGTAAAAGGTGAGGTGAGTATTGTGAAAGTAGTCGAATATGATAAAAGGTGAGGTGAGTATTGTGAAAGTAGTCGAATATGACATTCAGTGGGGTGATGATAATTTTAAGTCAGAAGTCAACTGTCAGTTAATAGACTTTTTTGCCATATGAGTATGCATTGCCCAGGGTGCACCAGGGCGCAGCCCAATTAAGATAAGTTAAAGCTTATTTAAAATTGAAATTTGATTTAATATATTAACTACTTCTGTCCTTCATTATCGAATTCGTATTATGTGAGAACCTCGTAACTTTCTTAGCGTAGACTCGCTTACACTCCTATAACAAACTTTTAATATGTATGTTTCTTTCGCACTGTTGCGACATTTGAACGCTCACAGATTTTTAGTTAGTAACACCGAATATCAATAACGATGATCGAAGATTGATTTCCATTTCAATATATTCAAACTAGGCTCATAATACCTCATCATTCGCAAAGTGCTTTGCACTTAAGAATCATCATTCAACATAATGGATGGTCCAAATGTTAGTATTCCAACGGATAGTTTTATTGCCCTTAAGGTATTTGATTTATACCGGCAAGATTTCTAGCTCATTGGTCATGCCGCCTATTTTAACACACCCGGTTGGAAATTTGTATTGCTTCTCTAAACAATTTACTTGAAGTGAGAGCTGGTGATTAGACAATTAATTATGCCTAGGCAGGTGGAGGTTTTGATGTACTTGACAATTAATCTTGACCAAGTGTTTGTAAACAATGGAAACACTGTTTACCACTTAAACAATAATGAGATAGTAAGTAATAATTAAATCCGAGTGGAAAGGAGTATTTTGAGGAAAAAAACAGAGCACCTTCCTATTGAGATATTATCTCTTTGAACAACTTCAAAAGAATTAATCATACAAACTTAAAGATTTGATTTTTAAAATTTGAATGCAATTAATTAATTAATTTGTTCGAATACATCAAGAGTACGCGGAATATTCGAAAACAGAAAGACAAACTGGCATATACATTTTTTGGAGTCATGCCGAGTAAAAATTGTATGTTTACTTAAATCTCACCTTGAATCACTTCCAGTGGATTCCTCCATTCTTGAATGGACAGCGTTGCTTTCATTTACCTTCTACCTTAGATTAACCGCGATTAGGTCTAAGATGTTTTAGCACAGGTTATTGGGAGAACACAAGAAACCACGAGCCTGTAGCGGAGTCGTTATGATGTATGTTCAAATACAGTTTGTGTCAAGTACACTTTTATATTAAATTGAGAAAGAAAGGAACAAAGCTGGATTTGGAGTAATCGGCTGACGACAGAAGTTCCGAGCCTAGTTTTGGCAAAAGGATATCGGCATTTCTTGACTGTATTGTTCAAGAAAAGAATGAGGATGCCAATCCAGAAGAATGATAATCGACGAATCAATAGACGAATATGTATGTAGGCATCAATGCTTTACTTCCTCTTATTCTTTTTATAACCTTAGATTAAAACTAGGGGTGCGCGATGGACTTACCTTCTCGTGGAATACAATGAGCAACGTATACTCTAACGGCTAAATTAGTAATATAAACTGTCAATTGACTTCAAACTACCCTGACCCGATTGTATGCCCTGTTCTATCACTTTCACAGTGCCCACCTTGCCTTAGTCTTACCTTAGTGTCTGTCTCTTTTACATCTGTGAATCACTCTCTCCACCTTTTGCGACTTTGATGTCCCCTCCCCTCTGTGAAGCCCGAAGTGAACTGAAGGGTTAATAATAACTATCATAAAGCCTGTCATTTGGTACAAATGAATATTTAAATTTAAACATTTTCCGGATAGTCCAATTAAATGCCACCCAAAGCTCTAAAACAAGTCAAACTACCAGCAGTGATACACCGAGAAATCTATTGATTAAACCACTCAATAGTTATGACGTGGGGTGCGTGATAGACTTGCCTCCACGTTGAACACCCTGGGCAACGTATACTCATACGGCAAAATAGTCTATCAAACCGGCAATTGATTTCTATTTTCAAATTACCATGACCCGACTGCATGTCATATTCCATCACTTCCACAGTAATCTTCTTACATTTTCTCTGCCTTTGTGTTTGTCTGTCTATTTTACATCTGTGAATCGCTCTTCTGTACTCCACCCCTCGACTTTCTGTTACTTTGATGAACCTTTGTAAAGCCCGAAGTCAACTAAAGGGCTAATGATAACTGTCAAAACGACTGCCATCTGATATAAATAAATAAATATTCCCTTCCAATTATTCGGACTTTGATCCCACGAATTAAGAGTATTTTTTAAATAATATTGCAATAAAAGCAGTCCACTAGAGAAGACAATCGCAAACATGAGTTATCAGTGGCTGTCAGTTGACCTGAAGGTGTAAGTGATTTCCGTTTGGGCATCGGTGAATACAACTGACGCTGTGGGAGTTTACAGTGAAGGTCTGAGTACTTTAGGATAGTTGATATCATAGACCGGTCAGACAATTGTAAAAGCTTGATCAGTCAGGTCAAGTTGAACTAGCGAGATGATTGGTCAAATATTCTGTGTTGTTCCAGATCAGATTCTTTGACCATGGGTCTTGATGGCCACAAAGATTCTCAACTGTCTAAACCATAGTAAGGAATATTTAAAAAAGTTAAGGGCACTTCTTCTCTTAAAGGAAATATAAATGAAAATTTGTATTCGCAAATCATGCAATAAATCGGACAACTACGAATGTTTTTGCTGAGGAAAAAAGGTGGAAAGGTTTTATTAAAATGTAGGAATAGGTTACATGCATAAAAAGTGTACGACAATGATGATACTTTGGAATCAAAGTGGCATGCAATTTAGGCTTGGAATATTCTCGAAGTTCTGCATTACACCACTATTTTATTGATTGATTGTTTGACCGTCAACTTTCCTAGTTATAAATAGGCCGGTACATAGTGGGGATCTCATGCGGAATCACTGTTTTTATCTTCATTTTCCCCCATTATTGCTATCCCCACTTAATAAGGTGGTGGTGGGGGGGGGGGGGGGGTTGGTCCCAAGTAGTCGTTATTGTTCACTGAAGTTACGTTCGAAGTGATCACCTATTAATAAAGAGACGGTTTCCACTGTTCACATCAATCGAATGACTTCGCACTGGGGTAATAGGCAAATGCACTGTAAATTATCATTAATACGCATACATAAACACTCACTCATGCGGAAGTTATCCGACTATATAAAAATCAGTGCAGCAGGTTCTCGCAAAAATAATCCGTCTACAACCCTCAACCTTAAAAAAATGAAACCAATTTTCTTCCTCGCTCTTGTATTCCTCGCTTTTACTGTCGCTAATGTTCGCGCTGAGTAAGTGAAGTGGTGCTCTTTTAGTGAAATTTCAATGACACTGCCAGTATCCTTATTTGAATGACTGCCTTATTTCCACTTTAGGGACAGCGATGTACGTTCGTTGAATTGCTCACCGCTCACTAATAATAATTCTTATTAAAACTTCCTTCATAATGTTTATGAGTGTATATTTTTTGTCAATTCAGGGAGCTGGCCCTCGGATTACTGTGTTCAGGGCGTATGGAATGGTGCGAAACTTCTTCAGCAATGATCCCCTTGGCCAAAAGATCGGATTACAGTTAAGAGAACTCGGAGAAATTGCTCTTGAGCTGAGGAAACGACTGAGACAAAGGCTTGGAAGTTACTTAAAGGAGCTCCAGAAAGAGAATTAAGCCTGATTAAGATTTCTATGTACCGCGATGAATGAAATAAACGATTATTTGCTATTAATCAATGTAATGTTTTCTTTTAGACACCTTGGCGTTAAATGACGAGGTGTTTTTTGCATTTAATATTGTACTTTATTTAAAAGCAAAATAGATTTCACTCAAGTATATTAAATTTGTTATGATTAAACGAAAGTGGGTTCTTTGTTGGTATAAATTTCGAGTAAGAGGATAGAAATTGATGAATTTCAATTCAGGACTAAATTTGCTGTCTAGATTTTGACACTGTTTGGCGAAGCTTTAATTAGCCTTAATAAAATCCCCACAGTTCACCTCCCATTCCTTGAATAAAAGAATAATTTTTCCCAGAAATCTATTGGATGTGTGGGACACGTTATCGCTTTGTGCATCATTGCATGCCTGCTCGCCAGGATTGGGAGGTGCGACCGTAAAAACAGTGGCCAATCAGTAGCCTCCGTTTGTTTAACCTAATCCGCCATCCTGATCATGATTAAGCTCCCTGCGTGCACACTTTGCTCACAAGATACTGAATAAACGTGCTCCGTGATACACGTCTGTTTCCTTTATAGCTGAGCTATAGCTTAGCTGGTTCTGGGGGTCTAGCTAGATGTAGGAGGATCTGCCATAGAGATTTCTGAGTCGGTCAGACTTTACTAAGGTAGCAATCCGCTACAGTAGTAGACCTCCCACGAAAATTATTTCAAGGTTAAAGGACTGAAACCTCCCCTGTACCTGGAAACCACCTTCATCGTGTAGTAACCGAATCTTTCTTAAAATGATATCTTTGTAGATACAACCATCCACCCAACTTGCAATGGGAGCAACATGTCACAAAAACAATTTCCATCGTATGGCGTGTTTGAGCACAATTGTCCGATCACATAAATGGCACCATGGAGATGGCCCGCCTTTTCAATAGCATTTTTCAATTTTTATACAACCTTCTCATCAGTGAGTACTAATATGGATGTCAAGAAGAAATCTTTCATTTGATATTGAAAGGATGGCATATTCTGTCTGTTTTTGTATTTTAATACATAGTTGCATTTCAAAGTGGTCACAACATCATATATCCGAGCGTCGCATCTTCCCTTTCAATGAAGCTAACACTACTTGAACTTCAAGCAAATTTTAATGCAATCCAATTGAAGTCGGATATCTTAGCATTTCTGGAATAATTCGCATTTGAAGTGATTTTTGGCGCTAGCCGCCGAGTAGCTGATGCCTTGAATGACGTCGGACAAATTCCACAGAAATTCAGCGTTTACTCATTTGTGGCTATTTAAGTAAAAGGTTTCCATGGGAGTATTTATTTAAAACGCTAATGAATAAAACAGAATACAAATTCCTCACATTTTCACGCTGTTTATTATTATCGAGATTGATCATTACTAATGTGATTTATTACTCTATATGGCTGAAGGCAGGGTTAAAGGTTGATTCCTACATTATGGAATTGGAATCTCAACAGATAATTGGACAAAGTATTTCATATTTTTTTGCTATTTGTCCATTGACGGCAATCGTAGAATAAGGTTCATTTTAGCTCTTTATAAATTTCAGTCTATATATATTACAACATTGGGGTGTGCGATAGACTTACCCTCACGTGGTGCACCCTGGGCAACGT